AGATTGAGTAGTTATTTGCATCAATTTTTGTTCATTTCAATATCAGATTGACTTGTGTGCAACATTATTCGGTTTGTAAAGGATTATTTTGCCTCCAGAAACTAAAATTTTTCGCATTAACACGTATACAACGTGTAATTTCTGGTGCAACAATGAATTTATTTTACTGATATTCTCAAAAGAAAAATTCAAATGTCTTTCTTAAATTACGATAATTGAAATGTTGCTGCAATCATCAAATGATCCGAAGGATGTGTTTCATCCGGATAGGATTCACTAGAAGGGTGATCCGGTAATTCCAATACTTTTTCAACCGTAAGATGACCATTAAAAAAAATATAATCCAGTGTAGCACAAAAGTTTGGTGATGATGGTGTATCAGAAAAATCTGTGTAAACAGGTTCGGCTCCATTTTTTTCTCGATAGGCGCTCTTCAATACTTGTTCAGTATTAGGTCGATAAGAGATTTCATAAGTACTGGATTCTGGTAAATTGCAGCCATTATAATCTTTCTCTGTTAAAACTTGATAACAGATATCCAATGGTTTAATATTGAAGTCACCTGCTAGAATAAAATCTTGTCCAGCAGCTAATTGAAACATCAAATCCTTTAAAACCGAACAATGGATTGCCATAACATCGGGTTTTTTGTAAAGACAAGGCATATGATACGTACCAATATGTATTGGTTTATTATCGATAACGACTTCTATACAAATGAGAGTATTAGCCTTAGCCATGGCAGTTTCCCATGGATCAGATGCAAGTTCTATAAATTTACTCATGGCAAATTGGTACAGATTCCATCCCCACGTAAACATATTCGCTTTTTCTTCACGAGGTTTACTGATTGAGCGTATATGATCTCCAATTTTGATAAAAGAAATTGAATTGAGCTGCATGGAAAGTGGAATTGCCATGCCTACACCCATATAATCATTATATCGTTTACCATAAAGATTATGAAAGAAAGTGTAATTCAATCGACGAAAAAATAGTTCAATTTTAGGTAAGAGAGTAAGAGATAATTCTTGTAAACAGATGATCGTATTTTCATGATGAACAATTTCTTGTTCTAAATGAGATTGAATCAAATTCCATCGATGATCAATTTGAAGAAATTCAGGCCGACATTTAAGATAATGATCTGGTTGATTAGCATAAATGGGTACTAAAATATTATATGACACGATGCGGACGGTCATACTAACGTTATAAAAATATGTTTGTGTCGGCGAATAAAAAATCAATGAAAGCAATGCAGCACACTGTGTCTTATATAGGGATGAAAGAAATAGAAGACTTACATGTAATTCAATGACGAGAAGAAATATGTCGCAAGAACAGAAAAAAATGACTCACGCATACGGCGAAGCAGAATAATGAAGAAAAAGGAACAAAGTTTCAGCGATTTAGAAAAACATTATGAAAGAACGAGGAAGAGCATAATATATATCCAATGACTCACGAATGAGAATAGGTACACGTCAATTTATGGACACTTGAATTCCTAGAATAAAAGAAATTTCTTCAATTATTTCAATTTCTTTGCCTTTTCTTAAGGTTTACAACAACTAATCAAAATTCTCCAGCAATTGTTCTGACTTATTTCAAATTTGTCAAGTTATTCAGTTAGTGAAAGCATTGAATTTTTCCTTGTCTTAAAAAGTTGTATAATTTATACTAGTAAACAAGATCTTGAAAAAAGTCTTTATGATTTACTTTTCTAAATTCAATAGATTTGTAGCTATTTATCATTTCCTAATTCTTGTTAACTACAAAAAAATTATGAAGATGAAATATATTATTTTTCATCTGTCGAAACATTCAGAAATAGTAGTTTTCATAACTTCATATTAGAGTACACGACTTACCATCAGCTAGTGTATACGAAGATTTCTTGCAATAAACTTTTGTCAGATAAATAAAAGTTAACAACTCAAATTTTACAAATGAAGAATTGATTATACAAATAAAGGTCACAAACAATATACATTTAGCCTTTCTCAACTTTTATTCTTCATTTGCTGAATTCAAAATATTTAGAAAAATCTTTGATATTTTATATAATAAAAACTCGATGTAATTTTCCAAAAAAGTCATTATTCAAAAATTTGAAAAACTACATTAATTGTAATAATATCTGAAAATTAGTTCCGTTTTGTAAAAAGACACTATTTCAATCATGATCTTTTTCTTATTATTGTTTTAAAAATTTAAATAATCTAATTGATCATGAAATTAGACATGTAATATATTGTTTCTGGTATGGATTCAATTCGTACTGTAATCAAATACAAAGTTCTTTTGTAAATAAAATGAACCTCACTCGTTTTAATGTATAATAGATGAGGAGTGAATCATAATACGATGTTGTATTCGAATAATAATTTAGTATCCGTTTCTTATAATATAAAAATATATTAAATTCATTAAATGAACAACAATGTGCGACATGTATGTAGCGACTTAGTCTAAATGATCATAATATCGCAATCACTCATGTCTTTCGATGACCTCTGTGTAACATGAACAGAAGAATGACTTGATGTATATTAATTTGAATTTTTAGTATAAAAAAGATTTTTTGTTGTGATGATGTTAATCGCTGCGCGCAACCTTTGTCTTCTCAAGGAGCATAGTACTCAAATCAATAAAGTTTTACTTAACATAAACGAGAAAAAGAAATCTGCAAAATTTTTTTTTCGAACTGCGAAACTCCATTGTAATATTGTTAGAAAAGATGAATAGCTTTTTATCCATCAATAATTTGTTTATCTGTTTTATTCTATCTTTAAACATTTTTCCTTTTCTCCTGACTATAACATTAATCTTTCATTTTTCGTTTCGTCATTTCTGCTACTATTTTCCTCGTTAAAAATCATTGTCATCGGCGTCGTCATCATTATATCATATAGTCATTTGTTTCTTTTCTTCTATCTTATACATAGATATATGTAAAAATTGTGTTAGTCAATATAGGTAATCTATTTTGGGATACAGCTTTCAAATCTTGTTACCATAATTTACTTGTTTTTAATTACTGAATGGTAACTTTTTCGTTGTTTTTGTTTGTTATATGTAGCTTAATTCGAATGTGAGTTAAAGTAAATAAAAGAAGCTGAACTATGATATTAAAATGAGAATCGATTTTAAACTTTATAGAGAATACTTCGATCACGAAATTTCATACGACTTTCTAATTAGAAAATCAAACTTCTAATTTCTATCTTCTTAAATATCGTGTTTTCAAGAAAATAGATATTCATCATTAAATTCATATGGACATTCCTAGAATATCCTTTTCTGTTCTCTAAAATTTCTTTTCTAGTTTACAGTATATAATCGATGCGCCACAAAATGATGCATTAACGCATTTACTTATTAAACAATTTATGTGCGACACGATTCGGATGCACGGTATATTTGGTCCTTTTTCAGTTTTATACTTCTGAATTTTAGATGATTTTAAAATCAGAGTGAGCCTAATATATCTAATATTTTTTTAACCGAATTCTAGAAACTTAGTATCTAAAAAATAATAAATTGTGAAAAAAAACAAAAATGTCAGTAGTTCTTATGTTCTCTTGTTTTTATACCTAAATTGTAATTATCTTGAAATCAAAGTATCTTACACTAGGTGTCACAAAAACACTCTATATTTAAAATTTACTAGTTTGATGTAAGAGCTTTCATTTAACCTAAATAAGTTTAATTTTCTCAATTCAAACTACAAAGTTCTTCATTGTGAGAGTCAAATAATGGGATGCTACGCTGTTCTATTCTATGCTCAATGAATTTATATTAGAGTACAAAATATTTTACTCATGCAGAACAGTATCTAAGAGACTAAAAAATAATTGTTTATGCTGACAGTTTGAAACGAAAATTCTTCGATTACAGGTATTGTTTCTAACAAAATTCAATCAAGTATAACCTACAAATGAACTTTACTGGCTACTATGGAGAAAACGTTTGTCTCTTATTGTTCAAAAATCTACTGGTGCCGATACTGATCAGAAAAATACTAATCGGTCACAGCCACGATTTCATTATTTGGATGTTGTGTATACCTTCTTGAGCTTTTTCATATCTCTCTCAATAACAGAATACTGTATCATCGACTGATTAGAGTAGACTCCACCGTAGTTGTGGCGTTTGTAAAAATATGTGTTTGGCGGCAGCAGTACTCAAATTTGTACGCCTTCACAAAAAGCTAATTAAATTTTATTTCTTAAATATGAATAAGAACGGGTCATGCAGATAAACTTGCTGAAGCACGAACTTCATGTAAAATAATATGGTTTTTTTAATCTACTGAGTTGTCTCAAGAATGTGAGTAGGAGTGGGGTATGGATATGTGCTGGTCTTTCCTTCACCAACATCAATACCCACATACGAGGGAAATAGTAGAAAACAAAGCGGTGTTATATTATTCCTCTGCCTCCTTCTTAGATCTAATCGAATACAACATGCTGACCAGCATATTCATACAGCGCACTTTTCAACAACAACAAAAAAAGTTTGTTATCGCTATAAACAGCAACAATATAAAAACAAGGACAGCTGAAAGAATGGCAAAAGTACAAGAAAAAGATAACATAAACCAACTTGCTGACAGTAGAAGAGATAATAGCAAACAATCGTTGATGATGACTGCATCACCGCAGTCATTGTTATTATCATGTTCTTCACGCTTACACTATTGACATGAGACAGCGCAAAGTCAATACTACTAAGAACGGGTTTGTAGCATTCAATGAGCCAAACACATGTCCATCCAATATCAATAGCAGTAACAATGATAACAATCAAGCCATTGACCTATCACAACAGTCAGCGAATGGTCATTCTCACATCAATGGAAAAAGCAAACACTCTTCTTCTCATTCCAATTGTTCTCGTTCCTCAATCTTTTCTCTTAATCTTGAGAAAGCTCGAGCTGAACAATTCTTCTTACTATGGGCGATCGTTTGGATCAGTATCATGTTCTACATAGTCTATACACAATGGTTCGAAACATTCACACCATATCATTATCTTACTGTTGGATTGGTATTATTCCTATTTCCTACAGTGTTTCCCCTACTATGGCCATCACTCTTTCTCTCTGCTCATCTTCCTATCACTCGTCGATATACTACTAAAGCTAACCTTTACATAGCAATCTTATCATGGATTGCGAATTACTTTTGGACACATTATTTCTATACAGTGTTACATGTCACATATACATTCAAAGCACATCGTCTCAATGATGTACCTTTTGCACTCTATATGATCACACATTCTTACTTTCATCTGTATCATGTTCTATCATCAATCATGATCAGAGTTGCATGGCGTCATGTACCCTTTAAAGGCATAGCGCGATATCTGTATATAGGAATCATAGTGATGGTTATGAGTTACACTGTGGCTTTCTTAGAAACTTTCACTATCCAAAATTTTCCTTATTACCATATTCCTAATCGATATGCCATGTATGTGGATGGCTCCGTGTTTTATGGTCTCTACTTCATTGTAAGTTTCCCTATGTTTGCACGATTAGATGAGGCAGCCAATACATGGAATCTATCGGCAACCTTCATTGACAGTATGGCTTGTTGTATGATCATCACACAATTACTGGATTTTTGGAGAATTAGCATTGGATCTGTGATTGATGAACCTGCAAGTAATCCTGTCAAGCAATCAGTACCCTACGTGTATTGAGGACAGTTCTACTATCTATTCTAGAGGCGATACTATGTTGATATGCATAGAATATTAATATACTAATTATTTTCATACATCTAAATTTATTATCATATAAACTACGTGCAGTGTAATTGCAAGCACCGTTGATATTATAGCATACTATTATCCATTTCAAAGAACGAGACACCTATTTTTTGTTAGAATAATTTTTTTGTAGGAAGATGATAGACGCTCACGATTTCATCATTCGAAAAAGAAATTATACGAAGAGCGTTGAAGGGTGGACGAGCATGAAATTGTGTCGAATTTTATCGATCAGCAAAGTACCGTTGAAATAAGCTTTTTTCTGCTGGATATTTTTATGACAGTATTCTAAAAGTACTTTCGATTTAATGTCGAGTTGCAGTATGACAATTAAATAAATAAAATTCGTCTCCTACAATTTAAGCAAAATTGTCCTATCTACTGTATCCAGTTCAAGACTCATAAGCGTTTTCTTAAAAGGCTCGATTTTGACTAAACAACCTTGGACCGATACAAAACAGATCAAGATAGGAATCAGTAACCTCATTGAATCGAATGGTAATGCCTATTTTCAGCTTCAATACGATTTTGCAAGTGAGGATGGATACGAATAGGTACTACAATATACTTTCTGCTCGACAAAAGAATTCATCAGCTGTCATTGACGTTTAGAATGTGTTATTATACCAGTTATCAATACAAAGTTTTCCATCCACCTAAATCGTTTACCCGACACCATACATAAAGGCAAGTACGAACAGTTAACACAATTTATCGGGTTTAATAAAAAAAGATAATATACTAATAATGGTTTTATCCTCGCTTACAGAACTGATTAGGTTGGGTGGATGGAAAAAAACGATGATCCATACTCATACCCATCTGTCACCGACCCTTGACTTGTCCCCATCCTCAAGTCTCACTATCGCGCACTGTCATCTCCATGACTTCTTCATAAGGAGACTCTTTTCGAAGAAATCGATAGATACAAGACTGCAAGACAAATCTAGGAACGACAAAGATTCCTGTTATTTCCATGATTGTTTTTATTCGCATGCTTTACAATGAGACTAAACAATTTCAATGACTTGACTTCAATCAGAATGATGATAGACTGTTCTTTTTGGTTCACTATGATCAGCGTTTTACCGATTGAAGAAGTAAAATTTCCAGTAAACTTGGATTATCTTAAGTACAATGGTAGATTCGGATCTTATAAGAGGTGAGATAACTGCAGCACTCATTGCCTTCAACGAAATTCGATGGTTTGAGCTCTTCTTTTCAATTTTTTTGAGCGAATTTTCTGGCAGCACTCGCTGCAGATCGAGAAGATACTCTATTTTGCTGTATGCCGTATATCGAGCGAAAGAAAACACAATCAGAATAAATCATGAAGTTAACCGCTAAGTTGTATTCGTAAATTTTTGCGATAAGCTCACACATTCAATTTTCGGAAGGTCAAATCGGATGGTCCATCAGTTGAAACGAAGAATCACTGGAGCCGATTTTTATCTTCGATAGTTATCATACAATAGAATGTAGAAGAAACTGATAAAAATAGATAGACATATCTTTTATTATAGACTATTTTCATTTATATCAACAAAAATAACATATGTCAATCATGGAAAATTTTTGATAGAGAATGATATCAAAAATGAATTTTATTCTAAAGAAAAAGAACTTCAAAGAAGTACTATAAGCATTTGCAGAATACGTTCTTCTCGGATAATTTACCGGTTGAGTAAAGTAGATTCGCATATTTAACACATTCAGTTCAAAAATAGTATTCTTTATTAAAGTGAATCATTCTTTCAGTAACGAAATACATTTTTCTTCATTCTGTTTTCAGACTCTTTTTTTCATGAAATATTTTCAAAACTTAAAAGCTTTTCAAAGTCTATTAATAATATTTTCTTTGAATATAATCTCTATAAAATTAATATTAATGTTTTATAATAAGAGTTAAGAAAATGAGTAAGTAAGTTAATTGTAAAATAATTTTCTTGAATAATATCTTCATGCCGATAAAACACAGTTGATTTCTTATCGTATTTTTCCTAGACGACGTTGATGTCTTACAATTGAACTGATATGATTCTGATTGAACATTTTGTTCAATTTTGTAAACATAGCAAATATGCCCATTGCATGTAGAGGAATCATGCCTGCGAATGTAGCAACTGTCATTAGAGCTACAGGCTGTTTACATGCTTCTTCCTACAAATAAAATTAATTCAAGATCAATACTGGAAATTAAGCAAAAAAAAACATACAAAAGCTTTTGGATCTATTATTGATATTTCAGGAATAAAGGGAGTTGATGTACTTGTCGTAGCAGTTGTGGCAGCTGAAATATATATATTCATTAATTAATCTATTTAATCAAATAATCAAATATTACTGGATGTAGAAGTTGTGCTTGTTGTGGTGTCAGTAATGGTTGTCGTTATAGGATTGGCAGTAGTAACATGAACACCAGTTGTTGTTAACTTTAGAAAACAAGAAATTATATTTTTACTATACTAGTACTTATGAGATCAAATTTCTTAAAATTCCGTGCATAGGTAACATGATCACTAGTAGACTTTTTATCTTCTCTTGATTTACAAAAATTGTTCAAAGAAAAGTTCGATTTTTTCAAGAAACTTGTATCTCAAGAAAACACCAATCATCCTCGTTGAAACGGATAGCGAGTGAAGTTAATTACCATAATTGTATTAGGACAAATTTCATGTCAAAATTTATCTTTTTGCTATTGCACTCTCTTCTTGAGTAAGCAAAAAAACGTATTAAAAATGATTAGAATTTAATCTTGACAAGTTCAAACAAACGACCCCCCTCCCCCCCGTATTATAAGCAGTGAGGCTTCTATTACAACTAGAAAAATTTCGAATTTTTCAACAGTTAATTCCGCTATTTAAATTATAAGCTAGCATGGATTTTGTCTTCACCAATTAAGAAATATCCCTGATGATGTCGATGTTTCATCATTGAATATCAACTTTCGAGACGACCAATATTTCATTTACTAACGCTTGGAAACGTCAAGAACACGTTTGTGTATGATCATTTTTATGTTGGATGAGACTTACAGTACAACCTTCCTTAATGAACACTTCCTATTTCAACACTTGTCTCGGTCCCTCTGATCGATTTTTGCCGTAAATAGATCTCTATATAATGAACATGCATTCAACAACGTATATGTATGTGTGGGAAAATAAAACGCAATGTGCATTCTAAAGTGATGCTAGGTCAAGTCATCGGCGGTCTATTCATTACAGAAAAAGAAACCAATAGTCCGCGACGCACTGTTCTAAGATAAATTGAACGTTCACCTGTAACACAACAACGTAGTTTGCTTATTTACAATAAAGAGATAATAACGATGCGTACATTGACCCTTTCAGAAGAAATTGAACAGTTGGGCTTGTAATACACTCAACTCTACATCAACACGAAAGGTCTCAAATAGACGACAACGGAGGATTATTTTCAATCAAGATTTCAGAAAAGGTCATGCAATAGATGAAAAATTTACTTTCGTTCTTTGATTCATCTACATTGAACTTCACATGACTTGTATACTCATCGAAATAGTCCTATTGACTATTATATGTATACAACAATTCAATCTATACAAAACCTCTATTAGATGAATATCTCTTATAATGAACACTTTTGAAAGGTCCCAATGATCTTCATCTTATAGAGGTTTTACTGTAATTATTATCCATTAATCGTACATTCATTGATTTATATTTCTTGGATATGGATGTCAATCTTAATATGGTCCGCTCTCAGATCAACACTCACACTTTCAAATTCTACTTTTTTTGTACGAAAATCGTAATAGTAACCTTCCCTAAAAATTTCTATTACGGGGAATTATGCGATCATTCTTATCGTTCGATCCTCCATTATGTCCAAATTTGAGGAAAGATTTTGAATTGTCCTTTTGTTAAGAATAAATTATAGAATTTTACCAATGTATTGACAGTTGTCGTTGATATGGGTCGTGTTGTTACAGTTCCTGTCGTTGGAGGTGTAGTGGTAGTTGTGGTTGTGCTTGATAGACCAGGATCCATATATTGAATGTCCAAAATGTTGGACTAGTTATCGGTGCTGATTCAGGACCTTTACATATGAAAAACTTAGTTATCTTTAGATCTAACAAACATAAATAAGAAGAAAAAAAAAGAGAACGTACCACAAAATTCAATTCCACTTGCCACTCCTAAATAAATGTAAAATTAGTGTATGAAAAACAGTTTTTAGATATATAAACTGACCACTATCAAAGAGAACATAATAACTACGTCCTGGAATCCATGAATAACTGGTTATGATACTGATTGTATTTCCATAATACAATATATTTGGTTGCCATCCTGCATCAAATACTTGTACTGATGTATTGGTTGAAGCGTCCATAAATTTTATGTAAGTTCCATTTCGAGTCGGACGATGAACTTCACGAGTAGCTATTAATAGATAAACAAGATTTTTCTTGACATTCAGCAAATAGTTTTATCAATAAGAATATTATTATCAAAAAACAAAAAATAAATAAATAAATAAAGTACAAATATCTATCAATTTTGATGGACATTTTTCATTCTATTGTATACTAACATGTTTCTTATTTAACGATAAGTTATTCATTGCAAACAATAACAATCTATTGAAAAAAAACAAATCGTTGTTGATATCTATTTACCTTGTATGGAAAATATCGAATGATTTGAAAAAATAGTTCCTATTGGTGAAGCAGTTCCTTGTACAGTTTGTGTTCGAATAAGATCCGGTGAGTCAAATCCTACTAAATAGGTAACACACCAAGCATCTGATTGCAAATTATTGGTATCAACAGCACCAGCACAAAAACCTTGTGGACCATATTGTTTGTCTTCTGGAGTCCAAGTCAATGTCATAACATAAAGTCCTAAAAAAGATAAATTTTTATTGCTTGTTCAATAATATAACATATTGAACGAACATACCACCTCCTTGACTGACAACTGCACTATGTTGCATTCCAATAGGTGAACTTGTCACATAATTAGTAATAGTCGCTCCAGCACAGAAAGATTGTGCGATAACTCGTTCAGTAATTGTTACATCTAGTTTTAAAATATAAATTATTGTAGGCAATGAATAAAACATCTCATGATTTTTATTAATATCTATTTTAAATTTCGCTAATAGATTTCAAATTAAAAATTTATTTTATTATTTTCATTATAGTTATACAATACAACTTATGTTGAATGTTACATGTTTTTATCATACATTTTAAAAGAAAACTTATTTTATGCTGTTTAAACAATATCATATACATTCGAATCTTTAAACGATGATGAAAAATATTTCTACAAGTAGCAACACTTCTCAATATGAAAAATCAATCACGTAGAAGTAGGTATTACACGTATTTTCCATTAATCACGTGTATCATGTATCAACGGGTTTGTTTTGTTTTTCGACTGGAATTACTGATGTTCAAATAGTTTTGAGTCAATTTAATGAGAATGTTAAATTAGAACCAATATCCAGTCAAACAAAAAAAAACCATAATTTTTATTGAAACAGATATGTGTCTTTCACATAGATTTATATAAAATGTTGTATTCAAAAGTTGCCGAACATGAACGAAGTTATTTATAGTTATAGACAAAACATGAGACAATATCAAATGTTATATTCATATCAATATGTATAAAAGAAAATTTATTGTCAAGAAAGTTCTTTAATGAATAATCAAAAGAAAAAAACAATTTTCTTACAATATATCTCAGTTATCTAATTCTGTTCATGAAAGTTGTCGATTATTGCTGATGAATAAAACTTTTTTGTATCTCTTAGTTGTGCCTATCGACCTTATCGAAAAGAAATTAAAGATTAGATAATAAAAAATTATTTATATATTTATTAAAAAGGAAAAAGTATAGGTACCTTGCACCAAATTATTCTCTAAGATGTTGAGGTACTCAGATATATTTGAAATTAGACTTGATATTAAGGTGATAGTCGTGAAGTGAAAATTATACTACTTCAACTCGATTTTTTCAACTAAGACAAGACTACTTTTCGAAAATAACGATTTTATTTCAAAAAAATTTTTTTACTAAAAAAAAATCGTACTTTTGATAAAAAAAATCTTTTTTTTGTTAAAAAACTGATAGCAGTTTCGAATTCCTCGACCCTAAAAACTTTTAGTCAAGTTTTATTTAAAAAAAAAATCATTATTTTCGAAAAATTGGTTTGTCTTGGTTGAAAAAATCGAATTGAAATAGTATGACCCTTACTCATGGCTATCATTTTAATATCAAATCTAATTTCAAATATGTCTGAGTACCTCAACACCTGTAGTACCCAAAGTTGGTGCGGTGTTGGGAGTTTCAAAGCTGCATTTTCCTCCTTAATTCCTTAAATACTTTGATGGTCTTTTTTTTGTTGAAACTATTATTAGAAGCGTTAATAGAGTTATTCTATAATTAGTATTCAACTTACTGATTTGCGTTCCAATACAAGCTAAAATGAAAATATTCGATTATATATTGTATTCAAAAAATAAATAGTATGTAGCATATTTAGAAAATGAAGGTCTTCTTATTCAAACTTTCGAACACAAGAGAGATACTATCCAAATGTAGTACTAAAGTATTTCAATTTTTTTTGCTCTTTTGCTACAGAAGTATGAAGAATCTATTCGAAACATGAATTTGAAAATGAAATAAATCTATTGAGCAAAAAAAAAATATACCGCGGTTTGGTCGTTCGCCTATAATTTGGGGTCTCGTAGTACAACTGCTAGATGCTGAATAAGTGTAAAAGAGAAATTGAATGGGTACAGAACTCATTGGAGTAGTGTACGATGAATTGAAATAGTCTTCGATTTGCAATGCGACGACATAATACCATCCAATACGGGTAGTAGGCAATGTAAACACCAATGTACAGTTTTCTTCATAAAGTGTTGAAATTCCATTGAGTCCCATACAAGCATCTTCACATTCATCCTTTCGATTATAATTTGTGGCTGGATTTGAATTTGACCAACGACATTTTAGAATATCAGTGCCATCATTATCCGCCATCTATATATTTTATCAGAATAGATAAGTCACTTAATAGTTCTTGCAAAAATACGAATACAATATATTGATTTCTATATATCTTCGATGAATATCGTCTATAAGGATTTTGCCTTGTTTTTCGGAATAAATCCATGGAAGACATATAGAAACCATTATGTTAGTGCTTTATTTTTGACTTATCAATCATCATGTTATAGAATGATGATGATAAAAAGTCTAGTTTATATGGACGCAATACTAAGAGAAAAGGTTTAATTACCTGTATAACATGCACTAGTTGTTGTCCAACAGGTTTGAAGAGAACAGGTAATGTATTTGTTACTGGACTACTATTTATATATCCATCGGGTCTTAATGCTAGATTTATTCGATTGACTAAAACCCAAGTTCCACCTGCTGCTGGATACAAATTTGGTCCGAACCATGTACTACTTGAATAGCCGATTGTAATTGATGTTGTTAATGGTAATGTAAGTGTATCATAGCGTTCACCAGCCCATGATCGGACCAACGCATTTGTATCACAGTCAGTACTTGTCATAACTGTTGATATACCACCTGACGGGAATGTTGAACTTGAACAATTAATATAGCAGATTGCCCAGTTATTCACAGGTATAGTTGTTTTATTGATGACATCACTTTCGGTACAAAGTCTAGTAAATGAGCTCCAGTTACGATTCCAAAAGTATCGTTGATGAACTTGAACTTTAACAGTAGAACCATTTGGTTGAGTACTTAATGGACGCCTGAAAAATATCAAATTTTAGTAACTAGTTTCGTCAGAGCATTTTATTTGAGAATATTCAAATGGAATCTGCATCAGATATGTGCTCATCGATGGAGAAGAAGAGTAGCGTAGAAGTGGTCACGCGCCTTTATCTGAAATAATTGCTATTAAAAAAGAATCTACGTGAAATATTGAGATCTTAAGAAAACGGATTTAATCATTGACGCATTCATTCTTTATTAGATATTATTCGCTTTATTGTCTTATTCTGATACTTATTTGTTAAGTTTATGAATTAAACTGTAACTAATTTTAATCAAAATCTGTTCTGATAACAAATCAATCTAAAATTTGTCAATTTCATTAGGACATACATTATACTTTATTTCCCCTTAAACTTAAATTTGACCAGATAAACACTACAAACTAGATTAAGATTAAAAAACGAGCATCTTATATGTTAATATATACATATATATATATATATGTGTATGGTGATATCTTGACTAATTAAATATTCTTTGGTAGGATTTTTAACTTTTTATGTTTGTTTATATGCGAATATTCAAAAACGAAAGATCTATTTAAACAAAGTATTATAGAATTACAAATATGAGAAAAAAATTATTCTAGATACCATTAGACGACCGCATTACTCTTCAAGAAGACTTTCTGTCAATGATCGGCTCGGTCATTATTTAAGAACTGCCACTATCGTCATCTCTGATCAGTACAGTATTGTACGAAAGTGATCATTGATTTTGATGCCATTTTCAACATTTCTAAAGCTTTTCATTTTTAGCATTTTGATGGAGAAGATAGACTGAAAAGATTTTAATTGGTAAAAGAACAACGATTCTCATAAAACGGTTTTTTTTTCGTACAATTTTAATAATTTTATTTTGAGAGATTATTTTACGAAAACAAGTTCATATTCGAATTCTTCATGGAAAAGTGTGTCTATTCAGTTTAATTTGACTTGAATTTAACAAAAACTTAAATCTCATATAGATCTTGAGTATTAATTGGAGCCTGAGATGAAAACAGTTTTTCAATCTTATTTTACTCTGGTTTGACCTTAGTTTTTTTCCTTTATGATTTACTCTCAGAGTAAATTATTTTCAAACCGAAATTTCATCAAATGTCAACACTTCATTTCAGCTTCTACTATTGATAGATATATTTGAAGAATGGCAATCATCGAAGGAGTAAGTGTAATATGATCGAAGAGAAAATAAACTGGTTATTTATAATGTTTGAAATCATATAAACCAACAGAACTAAATAGATATTAACAAAATTGTTTGCTAAAATCTTTCTTGTAAAACATTTCGAACTCATTAGGATCTTCAAGATGAAGTGAAACTAATCAGATTTAAAAGTTATACGAATACATCAAGATTCATGCAAATATAAACTCTTAATTGAAAAAAATCTATAAAATTCTGTCTCGGATGTTTTTTAAGAGCATAGATAAAAACATGACTTAACAATTTCATTTAATATTTTGGTCAATTCTGAGAATTCTGTACTAGAAGGATTCTAGAGAAAGCAACATTCTATCGAATAGAATATGCCATCATTTTGAGCACATTTTATTTTTAAAAATAATTAACGATTCTATATAGTTCTTTATTATTGACTGATTTGTGAGTAGTCACGACATATACTAGATTTACAATCTTTTTAAATTTCAATGAAATCTAATAGAAACTCATTTAAGAAATTGACAGTTTTGAAAACAAGTTTCAATTATTCTGATTACTTGAAATGACATTGACTTACCATGATATGATGCCACCACGAAAATGATCTGCATTGGTCAAATCAAGAAGTAATACAAGAGTGAGAAAAATAATTTTATTCAAAATCATTATACCACCTTTTGAAATAGCACAGTTGTAAAAGTATACTTTAATGTATACAACGCAAAATAAATGAAATGTAAATTCAAGTAATATATGGCTCTACTCAATAGTCATTATTTTGCGTCTCAGAAAAAAAAGTTGTTTGTTGATTCAATTTATATTTTTTGAGAGCACTCGTCTTGACTTAAAAGATATTTTACTTTTGATCATTTTCACGCCCTTTTTTTTCGTTGCAATTATTTAAACAGACGCCTCGTTTATTTTTGTTGACTTTTTCTCAATTGCTTAAATAACAGTTGCTGTTTTCATGCGTCCAAACAAACTTTCGTGCCATTGCCATGTTTACTTAATAAATATGAAAAAGTAAGAGGCACGGTATAAGGTTTTTCAATTACAAGAGAAAACAGTAACTAATCCACATTCAGATTATTTATTTATTGAATGAGTGCAAATAATAAGAATAGATCGTTTAGAATATTTCAAGGTTCCATTAACTATTTTTTTTTTGTTCATATAACTCATACATCGTAGTATTCTTCGGAATAGATCACATAGAAATTCATTATTATTTGTTTAATTATACAAAAAGGAAACAATACGCTTTCATATTGTTATTCTAACTGAATCTATTAGTATTAAATCCCAGTGGATTACGTAGATTATTAGTAATGATATTTTTTTTAACATGTCAATCATATAAGATGTTTTTTTTCTTCATCAAATTCAATTCAAACAAAACAGACAAATAACTTGGCAACAATTTTTTGTCTTCTAATATTTTATTGCTTTAATTGTGACATGCAGCCGTACTCACGAGCTGCGTGTAAACATTCAATGCTATGACATTATATGCTTTACATTAACACTTCTGCATATAAAAAAAAAAATATATCCAACGTAATTCGTTATTTACCAAACAAAAAAATCCACTCGAATCAATAAAAAAAATAATGGTAGATACTCTGCAATCATATTGTTTTTATTCATTCTATGCATTAAAAGTGTTCGAGATGTTTGCTTTTGCTCTAATGAAATAGATGTACACAAAAAGAATCAACAATCAGATCAAGCCAGTACCAAATTCCTTCTCTTCTATATTAAAACATTTACAATTATGACTATTCTATAATCTAATACAGAAAAATACCATGATCCACATTATCTATTAGAATGCAAGTGAAGCTGACCAACGTAACCATATCATTATATATCGTCATTTTTCTATATCAAAAAAATTGGTTGCTTCAATGACATATTCAAAGTATTAAGTAACCAGTTAGCTTTATATCATAGAAAAAGAATAATCAGTATTGTTCTACAGTTACATAAAATGTAGCTTCAGCATAATCATTTAAATTTGAATTAACAGTTACTTTTATTGTGATTTGTTTTATTTTAAATAGTTCAATTTCAATTCTAGTTCACATGTGTATAAAAGATAATACTATGAAATAATAATAATAGTGTTAAAATTTTCTAATGTCATATGAACTATAACGGAATTCTAATAATAAAATTACGATAAATATGCATCATTCAACTTAAATTTGCATCGATTTTTCTCTGCTTAATAGAATGTCTAAAATTAATTAGTCTAATGAAATATAATTGAATGCAAGATTTAGATAAAATAAGTTAATAATAACTGATATAATGTCTTATAAAAAATAGATTTGCATATTCCTATCAACGATGATCAAGTTAGCAGCAACAATAAGAAAAGATTTTCTATTTATAAATGTATAGAAATAGAGATCCTGTTTTTCGCCAATAATGATGAAAGTCTTGGTGAAAATTCTATGCGTGACCTTCCGACTACCGATCGAAATATTTATTGCTTTGACCGTACCTATAATTATTATAAATCATACTATATAGTAATACAAACGTGAATTGAATATTACTAAAGAACATCGTCAATACGATATCAATCTGCCTTGTAGAATATGTTAAAGAGGAATCCATGACTGATGCTCCCCGGACAGTTGCTCCCCAGACAATTGCTCTCCAGCGACAGTTGCTCCCGCGACATTTGCTCTCGTGACATTTGCTCCCCAAGGACAGTTGCTCCCCAAGGACAATTGCTCCCCGGACATTTGCTCTCATATGACAATTGCTCCCTGGATAATTGCTCTCTAATGACATTTTCTCCTATGATGTTTGCTCCCCGGACACCTGCTTTCAAATCACATTTGCTCCCCAATTTTACTTGGCCTTAAGCTACGGTGTTTTTGTGGACAAATTCAATATAATTTTTAAAGACTTAAAAATTTGTAAAATTATGAAAAGAACGAGATGATTAGAAATTCGTACAGAATTTAAAATTCATGAAAATTCACGAATTAATTTTAAATACATAGCTAAGTTTACTGCAGTTTTATTGAAATTTCAAAAGGTGGTAGCATGGATCTATAAATATATGAAGAACATAGAACAAATAAAATAGGAAAATACTCTAGATTATCAAAGGGATTATCACAAATGGGTGTAGGTGCAGATGTGAGTGTGGGTGTAGATATAGGTCTTTCTTTTACTCACATCCACACCCACACCTTTCCCACACCGGCGAAGAAAAGTGAGCTCCAAACTGCGTAAACTCCAAATTTGGAGCTCACTTTTTTTCTTAGTCCCTCTGCTATGATTCATAGCACCACCTAGAATGCTATTAGCATTTTCTGGGATGCTAATTGCATTTCCTATGATACTAATAGCATCGCCTGTGATGCTAAAGCCATCACTTGAGATGCTAGAGGCATTACTTGGGATGCTAGAGCATCGCCTGGGATGCTAGAGTCATCACCTAGGATGCTAGAGGCATCGCCTGGGGTGATAATAGCATTATTTGGGATACTAGATCCATCATGTGGGATGCTAGAGGCATTGCCTGGGATGGTAGAGCCATCACCTGACATATTAGAGGCATCTCCTTGGATGCCAGAGGCATTATATGCGACGCTAGCAGTATTTTCTGGCATGCTAGTAGCATCACAGACGATGACTCTAGCATCACAGATAATGAAATCAGCATTCCAGGCAATGCCTCTAGCGTTCCGGGCAAATTCTGTAGTATCCCAGGTGATGGCTCTAGCATCTCAGATAATGATATTAGCATCCCAGGAAATGCCTCTAGCATCCAAGGTAATGCTACTAGTGTTCTAGGTGGTGCTATAAATCATAACAGAAGGATTGATAAGAAAAGTGAGCTCCAAATTTGGAGTTTACGTGTGGAGCTCAGTTTTCTTGACCCCCACCCCCACACCCACATCCATACCCAGATCTACACCACAACCATCCACACCCTCGTCAACAAAAAAAACCGTAGCTTAAGGCCAAGTAAAATTGGGGAGCAAATGTGATTTGAAAGCAGGTGTCCGGGGAGCAAACATCATAGGAGAAAATGTCATTAGAGAGCAATTATCCAGGGAGCAATTGTCATATGAGAGCAAATGTCCGGGGAGCAATTGTCCTTGGGGAGCAAATGTCACGAGAGCAACTGTCGCTGGAGAGCAATTGTCGCGGGAGCAACTGTCCGGGGAGCATCATTCGTGTTACCGTTAAACCGTTAAAGAGATCTACAAACAGATGATGATCAACTCAAACATAATTATTTTGCTTAATAGTCTGTTAGATATTCTTTCTTATTTACCGGAAAAACATTGAAATACTCTCAAAATTTATTCAATCGATTGATTGTTTGTTTTTAAATACTTAACTGTTATTAAAATAATCGGATAAAATAAGACAAATTCACATATAGTTCAATCGCTGATTGAGGCTAAATCATTTGATTTTAACTATTTGAATTGTTACAGGACCTATTATCGATCTTTTCAGTATTGACTTTATTTATCGATCTTGATCTTTGTATTTTCTTTGAACATTCACATTTTTTTTTGGGTACATTTTACAATGAATATATTCTCAAAATAGACTAAATCAGTAGCTCTTTTTGATCTATTTAAATTAATGGTCAAATGTTTGACGAAACTTCGAAGAATGCAGCAGATTTCAGTCTATCGAATTCTCATCCTTTTGGATCTAAATATGACAAACTTTTCAGTCACTTGAAATGATAATTTTGCATGTCAAAACTATACATGTGCTCAACGATAAAAGTCGATCGTTATCCATATTGAAAATGACTTATGAGTTAATAGAGAACACTAAAAAAATCCAAATTTCTTTTTAAGAAACTATCGGCACGATAGTCGGTTATATCATGTCTTCACATATAAGTTTATGAAATGGATATCATTGACTAATACAACTTCTATAGGCTATCATCGACTTATGTTTGACATCCTTAATCAGGACTCATAAGCTATTCTTATTTCTTTACCATCGTAAAATCCAACGTATCGAAGATAAAACTGTAAAATGAATTAATCTTGTCAAAAAAAAATACGCCTTCATACAAATAAATATAATCACATGTTGCACAAGGACACACAATCAATTTTAAGTTGGCATGACCACGAAATCGAATTGTGATGCTCTAAATGAAGTTGACCAGTTGCTCATGCTGTCTCTCTATTCGTTTATATATTACTGGGGAGAAACCATTCGGAACTTGACTACAGCAACAAGGATATGCAGTAGTGATGGAATATATGATTTATTATGAAACGTATTTCGATAACTGAAATAGACTATTGAAAAACATCGCACACTAATTGAAGGGATTCAGAAAAAGATTACAGGAGAAGACTGTGTATTGAAAATTATCTTAATCTAATGGAACATCGTACTTAACAAAAGTAAAGAATGCTACATTTTTTGAGTTGAAAAACAGAAGCAAAAATCCCAATATGTAATAAAAATAATACAGACTCTTATGATTATATTTTAAAATGTGATTAAAACATTTTTTTTCACATCGTTCATTAATTTATTCAATATAAATATTGGATAAATGTTAATGATGAAATATATATTCCATTGAAAATTCCTTCTAGTATACATTTTTGTATAGAAATATCGAAAAAGTTGATTAGATCGTAATAGGTAAAATAAAAGTTCGATCACTTTCGTATCAGTCGTACAAATAAACATAATCAACAGTGAAGAAATTCATATTAAAATATAATCGATTTTCAATAATACTGCACACTTGCTGAATTATCATGCTGATTTTTTTTAGGTTGAGGAAGAAAATAATTAACTCGAGAATGACTGATATTTAAAAACAGCAAAGCCATTTTAAATGGAACTACTATTTGAAGTATATTATGAAAGATGTTTTAGTAACTCAGGTAAAATGTTAATAGCTCGATCACGTAGGCGATATCGTACAAAATCTGATACTTCAGTGTCGCCCGGATTGATTTCAATTGTAAGTGCATTGTTTTGTGCGGCGCGTAGTACTGGTTCCGCAATGTATGGAAATACACTAGTAGTACCAATGGTAATAACAGCATCTAAACCTTGATCCATTACTTGATAAAGTTGATTTACTGCACGCATTGGTAACATCTCACCAAATAATACGATACGTGGACGTACGAGTGAACCACACCGCTCACAACTTGGTGGAATTTTCATACCTTCAAAGTTATTAACATGTTTTTCATGATGACAAGAAGTACAATATAAATCTTGAATATTGCCATGAATTTCTATAAGATTTTTTGTACCAGCACTTCTGTGTAGACCATCAACATTTTGTGTAAGTACAGTAAAATGTTCAAATTTCGATTGAAGAGCAACAAGTGCTTCATGTGCAGCGTTGTGTTTGGCAGCACGACAAGCGGATTCAATTTGATAGATATATTTCCAACAGATATCTGGTCGCGTGTTCATTGTATAGCCGGAGAGCGCTTCCTCGATCGCCATGCCGTCTTCGGTCTCTTTTCCATCACTATATAGACCGCCAATGCCACGATAGGTTGGCAGTCCAGAATCGGCAGATATACCAGCACCAGTAATAGCTAATACACGTTTAGCATGACGAAGCTCTCGGGCAGCCATCTCCTATAAAATTAACCGTACACATTAACTATGGTGTTGAAGAAATCGAGAGCTTTTTTTGTACAGATAAACGTTCATAATTAACGGTAAAGACCTATCAAAGACTATTTCTCCAAAGAAACTTACAAATTATTTTTCTCAAACAGTTTATAAGAGTAGTGAGACATTGGTAATATTTTTTAAGATGCAGGTTATTCAAAAGTATAGGATACGTCAGAAATTCGGGGGTCTGTTTCACATCCTTCCTCACACTTAGGGATGCAACGGTGACGATCATTCACCGGTCCAAACCGATTTTCATGGAGAAAAGGGATTTTTTGAGAAAATAAGCATTTCTCATAAAGATTGACGAAAGTAAATTAGAGTCGGAGAATCCGAATCTACAATCAGTTTCTCGAAACTCGGTACTAGTTTGTTTCACAAAAAAAATTCTTTTTCTAAAAAAATTCGTGTTTTTCATACAAAACTTTTTTTCTAAGAAGAAATCGTTTCTCTTTTTTTACAACAATCAATTTTTTTCGGAAAAAGAATTTTTTTTATGAAAAAAACGATCCTAGATTTGGATTCTCCGCCCTCGATTTACTTTCGTCAACCTTTATAAAAAAAAACAAAACGTTATTTTCTCAAAAAACCCTTTCCTTCTTGAAAATCGGCTTGGACTGGTAACTGTACATACGGCTATCATCACCATTGCATTTCTACTCTTCTTATATATTTCTTTTGTTCAGAGAACACATTCCGAAAACGTGAAATTGTTTCTTCGGTGTTCTTCGATCTTGCCTTGAATCATGAGATGGTGCAACATGTACTCTGCAAAGATTTCGGTTGGTCAAAAAGTTTTTAGAGAAAATATTTCTTCATTTGTGACCTGCGGGAAAGTATTTTCGGCATGTCAAAAGTTATGTGCTAAAAACAGAATTTTGTGCTCTTTTTGAATATGATCTTAGAAATTTTATTTCAGTTTTTGCTCGAGAGTAGTGAAGTAATCTTTTTGAAAAGCTCAAAAAATTAGTTTGAACCGAAAATTTGTTCCGCACATTTTCGTATTTTCACTGTTGCTATTCGAAAGTAAAAAGTTGGAATTTTTATTTATATATTAGCTTATAGATTCAGAAATTACCCTACACAATGCACTATTTCAGGTTTATTTGTCTTTCGACAAAGTATCTCAATTTTCGTTTTTCCTAAACATTCATTTTTGAAAAATCGACTTTTTAATCAAAAATCATTTTGCATAGAAAAGAAGCTGTTGACAAAATGGGTGTAACTTCACTTGGGTAAAAGCTACAATTTAGTTCAATATTATATTTTATAGATGAGTGTCCGCTCTACAAAATGATGGACTCCAATAATTTTTAGCATGTTTCAAAAGTGACTTAAAAGATGAATAAAAACCTGTTAATTCGCCATTAAAAATAATTTTTCAAACATTTCAAAAAGTTCTTCACTACTCTTCAAAAAAAATTGACACTATATTTCTAAGTCCATATTCGAAAAGAGCACAAAATTCTGGTCGTAAAACATAGCTTTTGATATGCCGGAAATATTTTCTCACAGGTCAAAAATGATCAAATATTTTGTCTAAAAACTTTTCGACCACCCGTTATTTAGCCGTGTGCTAAAGTCTCGGCCAGTATCTCGAATTTCTAATATACATAGTAGAAATATCATCTGAATGCAAGTTAATTTTGCATTTTTTAAGATATCTTCTGTTTGAATAACAAAAATCTCATTTAAAATCATGATCAGTTGACCGAATAGTAATACAAAAAAACGATGTATATTCGTATGACATAAAAGGTTAGATATTCTTTCATGATAGTAATTGTTATCTTACCAGAATAGATCCTCCTATTGGATTGAACGTTTGTGTCGGAATAGATTTGGAAAGATGTCGTATGATTTGTTTGTTATTTTTAGTTTTGTATTTTCGGTAGAATTCAAAACTTTGCTTGTGATTATTGGTGATAGTGGACAAAACTTTCCGTTGATGTTGATAAAACTTATTAATAAGCAAATAGAGAAAATTCTTCTTCATTAGAGATGTATTCATTGATTCTAGTTGTGAGATATTTTTGAATTCAAGTCTATCTAAAATGAATGATTATTAGACTTTTCCTTGGTTTCTTTCAGTTAATGAAAGTTTGCTTTTCTTTTTATATGTGATTATAATGAAGTTTTTGTCTTTTCTTCGATCAAACAAGGACATCCGTACTTCTTCTTTGATAAGATATTTTTTTTCAATAAAATCAATGAAAATTTTTGAAAATAAGTAAACTATTTGCTGTATTAATTAATCAAAGAATTTTAAAAATGTCTATCAGTTCATTTTCATCAATACTAATTTTCTGTTTAACATTTTAATTTATTTTTCTTTTGTTTGATCTTCCATTCATCTTCTTCTTTCCTTCCATTACCGTAGCACGTACATATGAACGTGTCAACACACCGTATGACAGATTGACATCGATGAATGGACTAATATCAAAATGAAAAATCGCTTTAGATTTGTGCAAAACGAAGAAAAGTATAATCAAACTGTTTATTAAAGGTCAGGATAGATGAAAATATCAACCATGAGAAATATTTAATAAATGGAGGATATTCTGATTGCTATCGCACGGCATCTATCGTTTGAAGTTCTTTAAGCATCAATGGAATTGTCATCGAAATGGAAAAGAAATTTTCGATGTATGAGAAACAATTTTCAATACTCTCAATTGCTGTAGATTATGAGAATAAAATCTCTCATCATTTTGATGATAAATGATTTTATTTATGCTCTGATTGCATTTAAATTGTCTAAAGTAAGTGAAAACTATTAATCACGGAATATTTCAGTTTTTTTTTTCCTATGCTTATTAAAATCAGATAAGATATCTCCAATTTTCATACGATTCTTTTGGAGAACATAGTTTGTTAAACTCTGTTAGGGATATATTTTTTATCTGTTGTAGTAGTTTATTTCATGTAACAAAATTCTTAAATATGATACATGGAAGGAAATAGTTAGAAGTACACGCATTAGAATTTTCTGTATATCATTTATTTATTTATTATCAAAAGAAAAAAGTTACAATAGGTTAACGGAGTCAATCATTTCAACTTGCAGATTTTATGAATATGATAGAAATTTTATCCATCAACTGTATAAATTTGTTTTTCTTGGTGATTTTCATGTTATTTTCGGGATTATAAACAATATACATGATTTATTTTTGTTCTCTTGTTCCACAAATTTTTTTAAAAAAATTTGTCTAATGTCTTTTAAATGTCAATTTAGGTATGATAATGTATCAAAAGGTTACAATGTTTGCTTTTTATTTTTATTTATTTTTTTGCATTCATAATTCCTTTCTGATCGAACATTCAAAGTAAATTAAAACATATTTGAGAATCATTGTCTAATGTACAGGACTATCTCTTACTGAATGTTTCGTAGTAACAGTTACGAAAGAATTGTACTGATTTAAAGACGACAAAACTAAAAAAAATTGAACATTAAAATAAATAAATAGTTTTTATGAGATTTGTCTTGATCAGTTGAATCTTAATAGATTTTTCGATTATTACACAATAGAAAATTCATATGCTAATTTGAATGTATGAAAGTAAATCTACCCATGTAAAAATTTTTGCTCATTTAACGAATAAAAATGTTACAATTTTGATCATAAAAATACGTTAAAATTGTGCAAAATTAACGCATTTTCAAATCTTTTTTTCGTTAGATCAGTAAATTTTTAAATGATTCTTTACACGTGAATTTATCGAGAAACGTGTTAAATACGAAAGTTGATTAATATGTTATCCCTCAGAATTTTTCCTACATTCTTATTTACTGCAAGTATGATGAACTTCTTTCAATAATCAATATCTTGTTTAGTTTCACTCGTCTGAAGAGAAAAGTCCAGCTAATCAATTCAATATTGAATGTACTTTCTAATAAGATGCTTCAGAAAACATTGTTGTCACTATAAATATTTCGTAATAGATAGTAAAACCAATGAGGAAGTACAATATATTTTTTTGGTTTTGTTGATATCTCGAAACTGAAACTATTTATGGTTTTACTTGCTACAATTTTGCATTCTTGTATGTACCAGAAGTGTATTTCATAGTCGACAGAAATGATAAGACTATTACTAGTTTAAAATCTAGGATATCGATAGAGTAAAAAAAACTATTGTACTCTTTGATGTGTTTCGCTAT